GGCGCGGAGAGATGCCCCCTGGACAGCCGCATCGCGGGGATCACAGCCTGTTTGGAGAGTAGGCCGAGCCGGGGGGCCTCAGGCTGCACGCTCACCGTTGCAGGGGCCGAGGCTGGACCCGGTCAATCGGCCCGGCGTTCCCGCGCCTGTCGGCTCGGCCCTCTCCCCCGCACCCCGCGCTCTCCCCGTCGGCGGGCCGCCCTCGGAGGTGCAGCTTATTGGAGTGCACTCTGAGCTCTCGTGAGGACGACCGAGTCGGAGCATGGACCCGGAGATGGACGCGCCCCTGGAGGTGGAGGGGTACCTCATAATGAAGGTGGAGAAGGACCCTGGGTGGGCGTCGGAGCCCGCTCTGCAAGGACCCGGGAGCTCCGAGTCCGAGACCTTCCGCAGATGCTTCAGGCAGTTCTGTTACGAGGACGTGAGCGGACCCCATGAAGCGTTCAGCAAACTCTGGGAACTTTGCTGCCGGTGGCTGAAGCCAGAAATGCGGTCCAAGGAGCAGATCCTCGAGCTGCTGGTCATTGAGCAGTTTCTCGCCATTTTACCCGAGAAGATGCAGGCGTGGGCACAGAAGCAGTGTCCCGAAAGTGGAGAGGAGGCGGTGGCGCTGGTGATGCATTTGGAGAGAGAGACTGGACGACGAAGACAGCAGGTGAGAGAGCATTTTCCAGATTCTTGCATTTGGAAAGAACGGGGTGGGTAAGAGAGATGGAAAGATCGTGGTACTAATGAGAACCTTTGAAAGTGGAGCCACTTCAAGGGGCATCAGACTTCCATGTTAAATAGAAAAAAGACGCTTTGGTTGAATAAAAATGTTGCAGATGAAACTGAACATATTCATCCAAGTATTTGTTTCAAATCTTTGGAATGTTTCTCTAAAAAAAATTATATGAGAGAACAATACATTATGTTTCACAGGGTTCGACTTTTGCCGCTTGATCCTCAAGAGGGCAGTATGGGGGGCGGGGGGAGCAAGGACCTCATCAGTTATCCCAGGGCCCTCTCTCGTCCCTTAATGTTCCAGTCCGCGTCTTCGGAAGTGCCCTCAACGCCACCGTCCTTGTCACTCTTCCCCAGTTTAACTGCCAGGTCTTCATCTGTCAGCGGCTTTGCACGCCCTTCTAATTTCCAGCAGCTCTGACATTAACCTCGTGAAATCTGCAAGCTGTGCGGTTCTCGGACGGGATTTGCATTTGTGTGGAAGACCTGACTGCCAGCACACCGCCGTGCTGGTGCAGGGTAGATACTACATGTGGAGATGAATTTTGTGTTTTCAGGTACTAGTGAATTATGTGTGTTCTGATGACTTTCACTTCTCTGCGAACCTAATAGATGTGGGGACTCGAACTCTCTGCTCTGGTAACAGGTAGGTTCTGTGTTTCACGCCTGACGGAGACCCCGCTATGTGATAAGGAGCATCCTGCTCCCTCACATCCAGACTTACACCCTGCTAGTGCTGGGGACCCTGCTGGAATGGACCGAAACTCTCATTTTTTCTCGCGTCTTCTGTTCCTCTTTGACATCTTTCTTGGGGGACCTCGGCCCTCATCCTGCCTTCTTTTCACCATGGCTTTGGCTTCACTTCCCAGGTGAGCAGTCCCGTGCCCTCAGAGAAGCAAGCGCCACTTGGAGCAGCGTGGGACGTGGCAGTCTTTCGGCCACAGACCCAACCTGGAGTGGTGTCCCGAGAAGAAGCCGGAAGCCTCCACTCAGGACACCCTGAGCAGTCGAACCAAAAGAGGGAGCGTCGATCCTTCTCCAAGAATGGTGAGTGCTCCGAGCATGCCCGGTGCGCAGGCCGTGGCAGATTTATTTTGTGGCCCTAACTTTGTGGCTTGGTCAGAATAGGGTCCCCTCAGTACGTATTTAGGAAGAAGTTGGATATTTGCAGAGAAAGGCTTTATTAGCTGCGAGAGTTGGAAACACGAGCAGCATCGGTAAAAGGCATCCGGAAGAGGGAATCTGGGAAAACTTAGCCTGCCCCGCTGGCCCTGAGGTCTCGTGGTGGCGTTGAGGTCTCTATCCAGTGCTGTACACCTGAAACTAACATGAAATGATATTGAATGTCAACTGTGTTTTAAAAAACCCATTCTATAACCAGCTTGTGTTTTTAAGTCCTGCCACGTGTCCATGTGTATGTGTTCTTGGCTGACTATAAACAACTTGAACAACTGGAAAGAGAAACGGTATTTATTTTCAAAAACTGACTCACTCACAAGTAAGGCATCATGGAAGTGGCATGTGAGAGGCATGAACGAGAGACTTCATGAGGAAGGGACTGCTGACATTCACAGCTGCCCCAGACATTGGTGAATCGAGTTAAATACAAGGGAATGAGCTCGCCGTCCTTCCCAGTCCACAGTGATCGCTCCGTCCCCTGCAGTGTGGAGTCAGGCTTACTGGACGAACGGAGAGGTCGCTGAGCCTCCAGCAAACAGACTCGGGCTCCCACCCTGCCTCTGGCCCTCACCGCCTGACCTTGGGCCAGTAACATGAGCAGGAGCTTCATGCACAGGGGAGACCGATGGGGCTGTGGAGGCGGACCGCCTGGGTTCAGAGCCTCGCTCTGCCATTCTGTCATCTAGAGGAAAATAAGAAGGTGGTCAGTGTGGATTAAATGAGGCAGCGTAAAAGGGCCAGTGCGTAATAGCGCTCGATAAATGTTAGTTTCCTCTCCTGTAACGGCACAATCATTTTTAAACTTCAAACCCGGCTGCCTTACACAGCCCCTCGCCAGGCAGCAAGATTCACTACTGTGTACTCCTTTCCTTATTCCTCCCGAAACCCATGTCAGGGTAGAATGCGATGCCAGTGCTAATGGTTTCTGAGTTGTCTAGTGTGTGTTCACCCGCATCCAAGCTCCCTCGTCACCTGAATCAGACGTCCTCAGTTACTCCAGCTGACACACTTCATCCCGTAAATTCTTGGTGTTTGTGATTTCGCCATCCCAGAGTGATGAGGAATTCCTAAGATGGGAAGGTTCGTTCTGTTGAGGTGCTTCCTGGGGTATGGAGGGCAGAAAATTTGAGGGATCTACATCTCAGGTGAGTCCATTGTAACGAAGACCTGTGACCTCAGCCACTTGTGCCTAAAAGAGGAACTCAGTCTGCTTCTGTATAAAGCCGTGGAGCAGGCTGTTGAGTATCAGCAGTATTTGTCCTGGAGGGTTCCCCTGGACAGTTCAGGAGTGGGAGGTAGGCCACAGACTGCGTGTGTGCAAGTGTGTGTGTCTCCATTTCGTCTTTCAAGGGCCGCCTTTGCCTGCAATGTCCGGGACCGTGTCAGTTCTTAACACACTAAAGGGAATTCACTTACACTAGAGATGGCAAACGGGTCACTCGCGTGCCAAGTCACACTTACTTTGTTTCACTGCAGAGGGATTTTTGGTTTGGGGGTTTCGTTAGATTGATTTTAGTTCTCAAAGTTTCAGACTTCTGAGATTTTACATACAAGTTAAGAGTTCTGGCTTGATGAACTCAAAAGCTCTGCTGTACCAGGGCCATGGTGTCAGAATGAAGCCCCAGCGCACTGCCGTCGCCTTCGGGGGCTGTGAGCTCACCGGCCCCCACACACCTCTTCCGGTCCCCTGCGCACCCCCTCAGCCCACACACGGGGCCCTTTCCGCCCCTCCCTGCAGGCCCCGCATGCACAAGCCACGCTCCAGGCTGCAGTTTCAGGCACCGTTCTGAACTCGGTGAGAAGGGGGCCAGTTTGTACTTGAGGCTTTTTTATTCATGCTCACTTCTTAAGAAGAGAAGCAGCATGAATTAAAGGGCCAGAGCCCAGAACACCGACGGTTTCTTTTTCCGCCAGCCCATCCTCTTCCCTGGGCTCCTGTCCCCGCTGAAGAGTGGACCACCGCAGACCAAGAAGTAAGAAGCGCACGGCTTCCCGTCGGGTCTCAGGTAAACTCGTTCGCTCTGTCTTCCCCGGGGCATTCGGCCTCAGTGATTTCCCGGCCTTCACTAGCCTCAAATCTGTATATTTCCTCCAGGAGTCCCTTTTCCAGAAGAGACTGGACCCTTTTCTGAGTACTGAGACACCTGGCTGGGTCCCCTCTCTTACGACTCTCCGTGGTATCTTCTGCTTCATTTGACATATAGCACACACGGTCCCTTTATTTGGAGTCTTTAAAGCCCTCTGTGCTTCGTCTGGGGCCGCTTGTCCTGCGAAGACCCACAGGGTTACCCTGGTGGTCATTGCCGTTAGTGTCGTTGCAGAGGCCCATGAAGGATGTCCACGTGGCGAGAGGGTTTTCCTACAGAAAGAGCATGCGTCAGGTCCCTGCTCACAGAGGCCTCTTCCGGGATGGCAGGGAAGAGAGTGCTGAGGACTTTGATAGGCGCTTTCCCTTTTCACGTAGAAGGTTTGGGGGTTCTATCATATTCGTTTCTACTGGTGAGAAAATCGTTGCAGTGTTAACGCTTGAAGGACCTCCGTGGGTGGTCTGATCATTCTGCGGTCCAGCTCACCAGCCCTCGCAGTCACCCACGTGCCCTTGCCTCACTCATCCTTTTTTTCCAATTTAAAATTTATATTTGCATATATACATATAAATTCATATTTCTGTAGTTACAGTTTAGTGATTAAGACAGTGGGGAGCTGTTCTATATGACTGTCACATTTATATTATTTAAATGTAAACTTGCATCCACTAGACTAAAAGCTCCATGAAGTCACAAGGTAACTTTAGGATTTGTTTTCGTTTAATTATAATAAACGCAGCAGTTTGCACTGACACCTGGGTGGGTGCCCAGCAAATATTTCTGGACAGATGGAAATGTTATAAATGGAAAAAAAAAAAAGTAATTTCAATATAGTAACTTCAGTGGCATGTGAATTATTTAAATAGCACAAACCGAAGCATCACTTCACAAGAAAACTTAAGGATTATGTCATCTGGTTTAGCAGTAGGGCTAAACGATTCACTCACACATAAGCTACAAGCCAAAGACTTCCCATCTCGTAGCCAGTGCGTGTGTATGTGTTTGTGGCGGGGGTGGGGAGCAGGTAAAAACACACTTTATTTTATGAGTAACGAATACTGGTCAGGAGCATGCTCTGCGCCTAACGTGGTGTTAGGTGCCGCCAGGGAATCAAAGCTGGTGAAATACGTGTTGCCCACCCCTGAAGGTTTCCCTTTAACGTCCTGCAGCGGAAAGAAGTGGTACGCACAGGAGAAATAAGACAATAGCATAGGGTAGTGGATGGTCGTGCCAGAGAACTCGTGTAAGAGTACCAGTAGTGTGGCCGGCATGGCTGAGGTGGCCTGGACAAGAGGGGCCTGGACGAGGCCTTAGAAGGGCGGGGTAAGCGTGGCCCGGGAGCCACGTGGCTGGGGTGGCAGGGCAGGCGGCAGGGAGCTCTGTGTCCAGCATGAACATATCTGTCTTGCCGCAGGCAGTGCAGTGTCCGCGTCTAACGAGATAGCCCGGCTGGAGCACAGAAGGGCGCCGTGGACCGTGGGCCCACACCCCGCTCACAGCAGGAGCGGTCTGCGCAGCAGCCACGTCAAGGAGGCGTCAGCACACGCCGTGCAGGGCCCCGCGAGGGGTGCGGGCAAGGCGTGGCAGGAGCAGCAGTGGGGCTTAGAGGACGAGAAAGTGGCCGGCGTGCACTGGAGCTACGAGGAAACCAAGACTTTCCTCGCAATCCTCAGAGAGTCTCGCTTCTACGAAACGCTCCAGGCCTGTCCCCGAAACAGCCAGGTGTACGGTGCCGTGGCTGAGTGGCTGCGGGAGTGCGGCTTCCTGCGCACGCCGGAGCAGTGCCGCACCAAGTTCAAAAGCCTCCAGAAGAGCTACCGCAAGGCGCGGAGCGGCCACGTGCTCGAGCCCTGCGCCTTCTTCGAGGACATGGATGCCTTGTTGAACCCTGCAGCCCGCACGTCATCCGCTGACAAGCCGAAGGAGACCGCATCTCTCCCCAGACCCAAGAGAGTCAGTGCTGGTGCCGAAGAGCAGATCAGTCTGCTGGAGGAGGAGGAAGCCGCCGAGGAGTCTGGCGGCGAGGAAATGGGCATCGAGTTCCTCCGGAAGGCCGGGCTGCGTGCTGCCCCTGTCCTGTTTCAGAACCTGAGTGGTAAGGGCTATGCTTTTGTTTCTGGGTTGAAAGTGGATGGTCTGGTCTCGTGGATGAGGAGGCCCAGAAGTGATCAGACCCAGGGTGCTGGCACACACACCTCACCTCTGATCGCTGTGACGGGCCACATGACCAGAAGGACTTGGGCCTGCTGCTGCCCCAGCGCAGTGCGTGACAGCACCGTGTGGCCTCGGCGGGCTCCTCCTTGGGTCAGCATGACGTGGCTCTCGAGTGATCGGGGCCCACGGAAGGGAGATGAGTGGCCTTGGGTCTGAGGGCCTGACTGCCTGGGAGTGGATGCACAAGCCAGTCATGTTGGGTTGAGACAAGCAGAGATAAGTCGTTATGCCCAATGAAAGGATATGTAACTGGTACACGAAATGAGGGGGAGATGAATTCTAGAAGAAGAAAGGAGAGAAAAGGGAACACAGAGTAGATGAGTCAAATGAGAAAAAAAGAAACCAGTAAGATGGTAGATGCAAGTCTAAATACGCATTAATTGCAGATTTAAGACTTAACAAAAAAAAGGAACGGGTTGCTTATAAAAGATACACCTTAAGTATAAGAACACAGAGACGTTGAAATTAAAAGCACAGAAGAAGATGCACCGCACGAAAGAAAGTTGGTGTCGAGTATGGGGACTGGGACGTGCAGAACCAGACTGCCAGTGAATAGCTGTGTGACGGGAGACACGTCCTGCAGTGCTCTGAGCTGCAGTCCCCTCTAGAACATGGTGGGCCACCAGGGTTGCCGCTGGTGTTGGACGGGATGAGCCACACAGCGGCCCCGCGCAGGGTACGCAGCAGGACGTTGCTGTCAGTCATGTCCTTCTGCTCCGCCGTAGGAAGGGTAAGCCAGGTAGGCCCCGGAGTGTGCTCATGACCGTACCCGTTCAGAAGGACAGCTCTCAGGAAGGATGGGGCGACGTATCACATGTGCGCAGGTACCCACCAGTCTGGCAGTCCGTGGGCGGAGGGGACCGCCCAGTGAGACTGGGGACACACACGACTTTCCTGCTTACAAATCTCACAAAGGCACAGTTTATCAACTGTGTTCAGACATGTTCTTAAAATTTTTATTCTGCTGTAGAAGCAGAACACCTGCTTGTCGCACAGATCATTTCATCTCTCGAAGTGCAGGACTCAGCAACATCAAAAGTAATGAACGTTTACCAAAGATTTGCAGGATCCTCTGAGGGGACTCACACCAGCTCGGGTCAGCAGACAGCACAGTCCTCCTCGGAGCCTGCTGGCGCCCCGATGTCTGCATTGCCAGTCTCCTCTCGCCCCTCCCCTTGGGGTGAAAGAGGCCTGAACGCCATCCTTAAGGCGGGTTCGAGGCAGCGCTAGGTCTCCCATCCTGGCCGATGCCTTCCCAATCAGCAAACCTTTCCTCATTTAAAAAGCACCTACTTGGGATGTAGTTCTCTTCAAGGAAGACTGGTTAAAAGGGATAGGAACTTTGCGGGGAAGTTCCGATTGGGTGTCCCAGTCCATCATTCTTAGCCATTTTAAGAAGATAGGTAAATCCCACGTCACCAGAGCAGCGGCAGTTTGGGGGGCTGTGTTTTCACTCTACCAAGTAGACTGAGGGCAGTTTATCAGTTTCAGTTAAAAATCCTATTGGGGTTTTGACTTTGTGGACTCGTTTGAGACTAGGTATCTGTACAACCTGTGTCTCCCTAGCCAGAAACATAGTATCTCTCCCATTTTTCTAGACCTTTTATGTCTCTCGATAAGATATCACAGTTTTTTTATATAAACTTCTCAGTTTGGACAAAACTTGCCTGAGGCATATGCGGTTCCTGCTGCTACTGTGGGTGGGTTTGTCTCCTACGTGTGTGTGTGATGCGCAGAGGCCACGAGCCCCATTCTCACACCTCTGCACCTCATCCTTGCATGCCAGGTGTGCACTGGGGCTACGAGGAGACCAAGACGTTTCTGGACATCCTCCGTGAGACGCGGTTTTACGAAGCACTCCAGGCCTGTCATCGCAAGAGCAAGCTGTACGGGGCCGTGGCCGAGCAGCTGCGGGAGTGCGGCTTCCTGCGCACGCCGGAGCAGTGCCGCACCAAGTTCAAAAGCCTCCAGAAGAGCTACCGCAAGGCGCGGAGCGGCCCCGTGCTCGAGCCCTGCGCCTTCTACCGGGAGATGGACGCCCTGATAAACATGCGGGCACCCGGCCCCACCCCTGGGGGTGCCCCATGCCCCTCAGGGCGAGAAAGAGAAGGGATGCGGATTGAACCCCAGGACCCCACAGGCTGGGAGCCGGAGCAGCCCTCACCAGCAGCAACGGCAGGAGACTCTGGCAGCGAGAGGCTGAGCAGGGAGGAGGCCATGCCCGAGCCGGAGCGCCAGGGTCCTGCAGGCGGTAAGGGCGCGGGGCCGCGGTCTGGGCAGCAGGTGGCTGCCGCCGGGTGTCTGGGTGTCTGTGCTGTGTGAGAGACGGGGTACAGCACTGAGTAAAGCGAAGTCCCTGTGCTGGGGGTCAGCCTCGGGACCCCAGCCTCGGTTTCCGTCCGTTTGGGTCCAGCAGGGTTTTCTGTCTCCTGAGGTCGTTATGGGAAGAAAGCCCGGATGAAGGAGGTATGTCAGTAAGCCCAAAGCAAACACCTGTGCGGACAGGCAGGGACTGCTGAGCGAGGCCACCGGGTTCGAGCCCCTGCGGGCTGCCCGCTGCTACCGGATGCCCGTGGGGCATCTCGTCAGACGTGAAACGTTCAGAAAGCGCTGTCCCACTGTCCTCCCACGGGTCATCCAGCTCGGGGGATATTTCCGATGCCTTGTCTGTCATTATTTACATCCAGGCAGAGAACTCGTTTGTGTCAACTGCTGTGGCACTTTTATTTGTCCCGTTTACTCACCGCGGCCAGTACCCGGGTCCAGTCTGTCTGCCCGCAGCCCAGACGTTGTAGAAGCCTCCGCACCGGCTTTCTCCATCGGCCCCACATCAGCATCCCGCAGCCTCCTTACCCGAGCTCCCCTGTCCCCATCCTTGACTGGTGTCTCCCTTCCAGCTCTAGTCCAGGGAGGGGACCCCACCCACTCACCCTCTGGTGGTGCGGACGCTGGCCTCAAGTCCCACACAGCCCTGCTGTCGACAGCTCTGGAACAAAGGAAACAGAGTCCTTTGGTACCGTCTCTTGTGACTCTTGTTAAATGGAGTTCCAGATCTGTCATCAAATTACCAAGCTTTGTCTGAGCCAGATACTAGGCTGTGATGTCCTCTGGGTCCTAGAACAGTGCTAGACCCATCAGAACGTTTGAAAAGACTGCTAAGTGGAAAGGAAGATGGCATCTCTATGGCTTTGACGTAAGCTGGAGGGTCAGCTGATGGCCACTGCCTCCCCCAGCCCACGCCACAGCGGCCCGCTTGGGAGGGGGGCCAGCAGCAGTTTCAGCTCGGCATGTGCGAGAGAGGGATGCTGAGCCGGCAGAGAGACGAGGCGGGGTAGCAGAACGCTTCAGAAAGGGTTTGGGAATGAAGCAGACCCGGACTGGGCCTGAGTCGCACAGCTCGTGAATTAGTTAGGTGTGGAGTAATGGGACATCAAGAACTGGCTTCGGAATAATCTGGTGGCGGGAGCAGTGAGGGGTCGTCGTTAAAGTGGAGAGCAGTTTGTGAGGTCATCACACATACCTCTGCTTTTCTCTACGTTCAGTTTTCCGTGGTAACAAGTTAACGCAAAACCACACAGTTAGGGAGCGACCAGGACAGAGCCAGAAGCAGAGCTGCCTGATTCCAAAGCCAAAGTCTCCACCGCTTTACGCTGGCCATCCAGAGACCAACCTTGTCGTGGACGTGGCCTGTGCACGAGAGAGTGAGGAGATCATTCTAGTCAGGGGGACAGTGAGAGTTGAGGTTGATCCGGTGGTGGTCTGTGTGAGAGACAGCCGGAAGGACAAGTGACAGACAGCAGACAGGATGTGATTAGATGTCGACGACTCGAGTCCGTTGAGGAATTCGGACTTGATCGCTGGGCACTGCTCTGAGCAGTAGCGTGACGCAGCGTGGGCTGGTGTAGATGTGAACCTTCGAGAGCAGGCCGAGGTGGACAGACCTGCTGGGGGATGAGCCAAGCGGCCCCTGTCCATCAGGGCAGACGGGGTGACGCTGGGGTTGGAATTCAGTGCAGAAGGCTTTTCCGCAGGTGGTGTTGGCTCTCCTTAGAACTGAATGCAAATAAGACGTGACAGGGTTAGGGCGGGTGACAAGGCCTGAGGCCAGTGAGGCGGAGTATACCGGGACGTAACAAACAGCCTTGTAGGCCATGTTCGTGTCGATACAGGATCGGTCTGAATTTGTTGTCTTGTTTTCAGATTTTACAGTCGGAGTTAGCGTCAAGGAAGATGCAACACGGATAGAAGATGACGCGGAGCAGGCCAGGGCGTTAACGGAAAAGGCCAGAAGGGCCGCTCCCCAGAACCCCGATCCCGGGAGAGCGCACAGAGGGGACGGCACCTCGGGGAGACCTTGGGGAGCCTTGCAAGGGGTCAGACGGGGGAAGCCGGCCTGTCGGCCACGAGACCCAGGGAGAGCTGTGGCGCACCAGCGGCCTTGCACAGGGAGGGGGCCCCACAGGCCCCTCAGGTGCGGGGATGGCAGTGCGCGGGGCGCCCGCCTCGGGTGCCGCGCCACACGCCAGAAGGAGAACGCCCACAAGTGCCGGGTGTGTGGGAAGTGCTTCGGAAGGAGCAGGAGCCTGGCCAGGCACCAGAGGACCCACACGGGGGACAAGCCTTTCAGGTGCCTGGACTGCGGCCAGAGCTTCAACGACTCGTCCAACTTTGGGGCCCACCAGAGGGCCCACGCGGGCGAGAAGCCGAACCGGTGCATGGAGTGCGGGCAGCGGTCCACCGGTGGCGCCCACGGCAGGGCCCCGGGCGCCCAGAGCCCCTGCGGGGGTGCGGACTGCGAGCAGAGCTTCAGTAGCTGCGCACGCTTCCGGGAGCATCGGAGGACGCAGGCAGGGGACAGGCCCCACGGCTGTGCCCGCTGCAGTGGGCGGCTGGGGAAGAGCTTGGCCCTGAGCAGGCATCGGGAGGCCCCCGGGAGGGACCAGCTCCCACCACGCCCTTCGCCCCCGTGCCTCCCAGAGCAGCCCCGCAGGGGGAAGGTGGACGACCTGAGGAAACAGCTTTGATGACGGGCTCCCCTCCTCCTGAGCGTTCCCTTAGCCACGATGGGAGTGAGCACTCATTTCTTAGCTACGAGGTGCAGTGCCCAAGATGAGTGTGAGGGTGCAGGTAACTGAAGACTGGAACTCTGTCCTCAGCTCGGCCACTTGACCAGGCTGTTCCTCTGCTCCTGTGTCTCAGCGTTTCAGCATCTCCTGCTGTGACAGGAGGTGACGCAGAGTTCAGAGTGGCGTTCTCCTCGGCATGTCGAGACCCCTGCCGTGGGCTGCCGAGTGCAGCAGCAGTCAGGTGCTTCACGCAGGAGGAGCAGCTCCCAGGGCGATGACGCACGCGGGAACCTCCGTCGCCCCTGCCACGTGGCTGCAGCCTGCTTGGAGCTCCGTATTTGGGTAGAACCTTCGGGGTCCGGTCAGAGCCACGTCGGATCCACCTGGGTAGGAGGATTTTCACGAAAGACACTGATGGTGTCAGCGCACCTGCAGCAGGCTGTTGCGGCGTACCTGCTCCGTGTCGAGAAATTGGTCCTCGTCGCTGGGGTAGAAGCCTGTGTTGTCCCTGACGTCCTGTGACCAATGCCGCGCCCTCTGTGAAGCTGCCGATCGCATCATCCTCGGTCCCTGAAGACTGAAAGCCCACGCTGCCGCTTCTCCAGCACGTAAGGAACCGGTTCCTGTGGCCCTTAGCCACACGTCCCACACTCATCTCTCCGTGTCCTCGGTGCCCACTCTGAGCTGTCAGGCCCTCCGCAGACGGACTAGGCTGCAGGCTCCCGGCAGAGCTCCAGACGTGTTCTCGCTCTCCCCGTGACTTTCCTGGTTCTTACCTAGAACGTATGTGTTGGCGCGTTTATGCCTCGCAGCCCCCCACTTGGGTAGAATAGTACGTAATCTTAGTTTTCTAAACTGTGGGGTAGGGGAGGGTGGAGGAGAAGCCCGCAACAGTAAACACGTCTGAGCAGTGGGCCTCCTGAGGCGGGTCGGATCGCCACCCCGTCCAGACCAGAACCTCCAGGGCCGCTCGTCGCTGCCCCCCCTCAGGCTTCCAGACCCTGTTCACAAGGTCTCCCCGTGTTGCCCCAAGTTGTTTGCACAACTCCACAGCTCATGGAGCTGGCTGACGCAGAAGCATTCGCAGAAACTTCCGATGCGGGACAATGATGGCACTTCCCTCGTTAACATGTGAAAAATCCCCACGGGCCACCAGCAGCCGTGCAGCAAAGGCTGGAGGGGGGGCGGGTGCTGACAGGTAGATGGTCCATTCATCCCCAGAAGTTACAGACGAGACCCAGGGGTCTGGTCGCCCAGCGCTGGCCACCTCAGGGCGATGCCAGCAGCATTTCTACCCTCATGAGAGGTGACGAAGGGCACCTTTGCTTTGGGGAGAGGGAAGTGGCGTTTTGGTGGGAGGGTGAACAGAATCAGACTGGGCAGGTGACCTTGTAACCGCCTCTTCCCTTGGCGTTGTCAGGTGCTCTTATTTGAAGACACATGGCAATGAGTTGTCCTTTGAGTGTCTTTGGACCTGTTGGATCGTGTTGAGCAGAGCGCCAGGGGCAGGCAGTGGAGGAGGAAATCCCGCTACTGCGCCGGCACGGGGCATGGCCTGCGGGAAGGCAGGCGACTCAGGCGGCGCCGACCAGTGTTCTGATTCACACCTGTTGGAAACGTGCTTGTGACACCTGACTGGGCTGCCTCTGCGTTGTCTGAGTTACAGACCTCTGATGCTCAGTGCGGCTTCGTGCTGGTGTCCTAGAGCAGGTGTGGGGCGCTCGTAGGCGTGAGCTTAGACTCTGTGATGTGTGGAGGCCCGGCCCCAGAGTAAAGATGCACATTACTAGAACCCACCACTTAGTCACGTGCGCAGGACGCACGGTGGCCCTGGCTGGCGCATGGTCCAGGAGGGCTGAGGTGCTCGTGGACACGTCGTCGGCAGTATTGTCTGTAGGCCCTATTCTAGGCACGGCGAGGGGCCTGCACTCAGGGAGCTCGAAATGTGACAGGAAGCATCATAGTAACAACAAAACCACTGTCACTTGCGAAAGAGTATAACTGGCCTAAAATCGCACTCCATCCCCTGTCCCTCAGACTCCTGGTGGCGGGAAGGTTCAGGCCCTTCCATCCCCGGTGGGGCAGGCGGTTCTGCTCAACGAAGTCTTGTGGGTCTGCGGGTGGGCTTAGGCGGAGTCCGGGGTCCCCTGCAGGTGTGCCGCGTGGACGTGTATTAAGTGACCTCGTGAGCTTCGTCTGCATCCCCAGGAAGCAGCAGCCCCTGGCCACCATCACAGCAGGCGTCCATGCAGCCGCGTTTTTCAGCCAGAGCTAGGAGGTCAGTGAGTGATGTGTCCTTGGCCTCATACGGCGTCGCCTTTACAGAGACCCCTGGGGAGGCGTTTATGTCTCGGTCACGGAATCAGGGAGAGCAAACAAGGGAAGACAGTTATCCTACAACACTGGAGTTTTTATAACTTACTGTTCTTTCCCTTGGTTCCGGGTGCTGGAAAGCTCAACAAAATTTATACCCCACTTCAACCAACTATAAAATGTAGGTTTATTTAATCACGTCTTACTCTTTGAAAATTGTCTCAAACCCTGTTTTTTAAAATTGGTACAAACAAGTAGACATTCCCTGACATAAGTCCCTGAGGCCCCCTGGCAGTGGGCCTGTACCCCCTGCCTAGGCCAGCCCATCACACTCACAGAGGCCCGCGGGTCCTGCCGGGTCCTATGCTGCAGCAGGACCTAGTGGCTTTACCTGGGAGGAGGCCTTCCGGCCTCAGGAGGAAGAGGGCACACGTGCCTCTGGACAGCCAGGCCCCCAGCTATGGGGACAGCATGGGCCAGAGACTACAGAGGCACTGTGGGCCTGCCAGCCCCGCTGGCCGAAAGCGGGACCTATCGGAGCCTCTGGCCTCAGTGCCGTATCTGGGGACAGGGTGGACTTGACTGCCAGGACGGCTGCAGCTCTGACGCTCGGCCTGAGAGGCCGTAGAGTGTGGCCGGGACAAGGAGGAGGTCAGCAGGTGGCGCAAGCCCCACCGGGCCGCTCAGCCTCAACACTGGGGGACAGCACACAGTCAGGGCTCCCGCAGGAGGTAGGCTGCAGGTGTCCCCGGCACCCTGACAGCCACCTGCAGGTCACTGGCTGGCGAGGAAAGCCCATTCCACGAGGCCTGGCAACAGTGGGATGCAGCTGTGGGAGCCGGGGCAGCCTGAGTGCAGGGAACGCGTGGGTGGCTCGAGGCCCTGCCACGGAGCAAGGCCTCCGAGTGACAGTGCATGTCGAGTCATCGTGCACGTGTCCTCGTGCATCAAGACGTCGCCTTGAAAACACGTGTGTGAAATAAACGTCTCCGGTGAGTGACTCCCGTGGGCTTTGCCGTAATTTGAAGGCTGTCCCCTCTGAAGGGAGAGGGGACGTGGCCCAGAGGAGCACAGCCTCGCTCGCACTCACAGCTAGCGGCGGCCTGTGCGTCCGCAGCCGTCCTCAGCGGCTGTACTCTCGCAGCGACTGTGGCCCCAGGAATGGCTGGCCCTCCTCGGGTGGGATGCGCCTGGGACTCGGCGCCCACATGTGTTCTGGGGAAGGCACTCGGCCACGTTCTGTGAGGCTGGGACAGGTCTCCTGAGTCCCCACAGACAGCGCTGCTTTTGATTTGCTGTTTTGGCGTAAAGAGTTCTAGCAGCTTTCACTTGTGCCATTTGCCGAGCATGTGTGTCCAGCGGCGCTCTCAGGTGCAGTGGGGAGAACCGGGGGCGTTCATAGGGCCAGGACACCGCGACACAGGTGGTCCGGACATCACGCGCTTCTCACCCGGCCTCCAGGCCTCTGCCCCCGGCAGCCAGCCACAGGAGTGCCGAAGCCCTCAACTTGTCGCTGCTCAGACTCCATGTCTAAGAGCCTTGTGCGTCCCTTGTGTGTCCATGAGTGAATGTCCACGGCTTTGGAGGAAGCTCAGACAGAGCTTTGGAGTGTCCGTGTGTGCTGCTGTGCCAGCGCATTGCGGACATGGCCGGCCACTGCCCTCCACTCTGTCCCTTGCAGAGGTCGAGCTCCGTGACCTGCCCAGGCCTAGGAATTGGGGCAGAGACTTGACATCTGTAGGGGCCACAGATTTTCAGTCCCTGCAGACCAGTTAAAACCGACACCAAGAGAGGAGGGTGAAGGCTTTGCATTCCAGGCATCAAAAGGAGCTTAAAGCTCATTGTAGCTCAGACACTGCGGTGGCCTGGGGTGTGCAGGGAAGCACAGTGCTGGGTCCTAAGAGAGGTGAGGGCCCGAACCGCCCAGAGGTGCTGCGGCGAGGGGAGGGGCCAGATGAGCGAGGCCTGGCCCTGAGGGTCACTGGGGCACATGGGCATCGCCCATGGGGCGTGCAGGTGTGCTGGCGCGGGAGCTGTGGGACTGTCAGTGAAGCCACCTTGGTCCGGTCAGGCGTGATTGGCGACAGTGCACACCTCGGAGGACACTCCCAGCAGAGCCGAATGGCAGCAGAGCAGAGCAGGCAGCAAGTAAAGGTGACATGAGGAAGGTGGGCACGTATCCCTTTGGTTCTGTGTAGGCTCAGAGTTTCTGGGCAGTCTGTGGTCAGGAAGCTGGGATCCCTCCAGCCTCCCGACCACACAGTGCCTGAGGGCTCAGGCTAGTCCTGGTGAGAGGCCCTGAGTCAGCACCCAAGGGTCGAGCAGGCCACTTGTGCAGAAGGGACAGTAGATTCCATGCCCCAGATCCTGGCCGACAGCTTGGATGGTTCCTACCCTTCCCCGTCGAGGGGCCCATAGCCCTTGAGGATGGTTAACTGAGAAGACACATTCGTGCCAAGGCCACGAAACTCCGGCCCTGGCCGTGGTGCTGATCCCCACAGGCTGCAGTGCCTTTGGCTGGACAGCTCGGCGTTGCGTGCCGGGCCGACAGCTCCACCCTCTGGGCACCAGGCCTTGTGCTCGCGTTCCACAGACACCACGTGTCTGAACTCTCGCACAGGGTCTGAGGCCACGTTTCCAGTGTC